TATATATATATATATATATATATATATATATTTATCACAAATTATTATAATTTAAAATTAAACCGTAGCATAGTATATATGAATCTTAGATTGATTTTGATAATTGACATATTAATTTCGTCGAGATTAAATAATTAAATATTTAAGTTGGGATTAACGATAGTAGACTCAGTTAACCTCTGTCAATATATGTTAACCACAATTAAGTTGGCTCTCTGTCATCTTAATGGCTTCCTTCCTTCCGAGCAACGCGAGATTGGAGTCAATCAAATCAAACCCCAAAGGTGTTGTCGACGGGGTGTCGTATCGCTCACTCTCTCGACACGTTTGTCCGTCATATTAGATGCCATAGATTTCTTGGATGAGAGATCTCATCGCTGCCAAGTCGCAGATTTCTTGTCTCTCCTCTGATCCACTGTCACCCGAGGAATGATGCCGGCGGCCGCAGCAGAGGTGGCTCTCGTGAAACCCAGCAATCCCATCGCCAAGTTCAGCAGAGAGTCACCCCCAGGCGCGCCTACTTGAGAGTCTCGGCTTCTTCACGGCCCAGAAGAAGAGGTCGGGCAAGACGGAGATCAAGGAGACGCTGCTGACGCCCAGGTTCTACACCACGGACTTCGATGAGATGGAGCAGCTGTTCAACACGGAGATCAACGGGAACCCGAACCGGGCGGAGTTCAAGACCGACTACAACCAGACCCACTTCGTCCGCAACCCCGAGCTCAAGGAAGCCGCCGACAGGATGCGGGGGCCCCTGAGGAAGGTTTTTGTGGAGTTCCTGGAGCATCGCTGAGTTCTCCGGCTTCTTGCTTTACGAGGAGCTCGGACGAAGGCTTAAGGTTGAATCCCTGTATCCATTGAGTTCTTATTGAGCTAGTTTGGATTTATTTTGGTTAATTTGGTGGCCAATTGTGCAATTATTTTCCTTATTTCTGCTTTCCAAAGCAGTAATTTGGGTTCATTCTATGATAGAATGATGCAAGACTTATTGGAATGAACAATTCTTTATATTTGTTTTGATTTCCTTATAGATTGATGAATAGTTAATTAATGTTGCTTCCTATGAGTTTCCTAGTGGTTTTTTCAAACATTTAATTGTTCCTCTGTTTAGGTTGAATCCCTTTATCTAGAGAGTTTTTATTGAGCTAGTTTACATTTTCTGGTTAATCTGATGGTCCATTGGACAGTTGTTTTCCTTATTCCTACTTTCCAACGTAGTAATTGTTGGTTCATTTTATGATCAAAGGTTGTAAGTCTTATTTGAATTAATTCTTTCTTTAGGTTTGTTTTGAGTTTCTTATAGATTAATGAACAGTAATTTACTGATCTATTTCTTGAGGACAGCATTAGTTAGTTCTATTCTGTAATGTTGCCTTCTAAGATCCTTCCTAGCCTTTTCTTCATCCATTTAATTGTTCCTATGCTTAAAGTTGAACCCTTTTTTCTATAGACTTCTTATTGGGCTAATTTAGATTTGTCTGATAAACTTTTTATGGTCCATTGCACAATTATTTTCCTGATTCCTACTTTCCAAAGCAGTAATTTGGATTCATTCTATGATGTTAGGATGTAAGTCTTTATGAATGAATTCTTATTTTCTTTATTTTAAGTTTGTTTTAGTTTTAGGATCATATGATCCATTCATTTTACTAATCGTTGACAAATTGTTGGACAGAAAACCAACCCTGTGGTGGCCGAGATCTTCTCCCTCATGTCGAGAGATGAAGCCCGGCATGCCGGGTAAGTAAAACAACTGACCACGATCTTTAGCTGCCATTTTCCTGTTTTCCAGTGAGGAAAACATTACAGCCGCTGTTATTTGATGATTCTGTATGAAGCGAACTATTTTCTCTTAGCTGAAATCATGTCAAAATTGCAGATAGTACATGTGGATTTACGGAAGGAAAGGTTAAGAGATTGAAGACAAACTTATAGTCCTGATATGTCCATACCATGTTGTTGCAATTGTGTAAACTTGTGCAGATTCCTGAACAAAGGCCTCTCGGACTTCAACTTGGATTTGGATTTGGGTTCCCTAACAAAGGCTTGGAAGTACACATTCTTCAAGCCAAAGTTCATCTTCCATGCAACATATCTATCTGAAAAGATTGGATACTGGAGGTATATCACAATATATAGGCACTTAAAGGCCAATCCTGGGTTTGAAGTGTACCCAATCTTCAAATACATTGAGAACTGGTGCCAGGATGAGAACAGGCACGGAGGCTTCTTCTCTGCCTTATTGAAAGCTCAGCCGCAGTTCCTTAGTGACGGGAAGGCCAAGCTGTGGTCTCGATTCTTCTGCCTCTCGGTAATCCTTTACATTTCAATCACCACCATAACAAATCAAAATCATTCTGACCTAGTTTTCCATGCACATGCCAATACATACTTTCATATAGTGACAAAAGTATGCCTCAAATTATGGCAGGTGTATGTGACGATTTACCTGAATGATTGCCAGCGAACAGCTTTCTTTGAGGGCATTGGTCTCAACACCAAAGAATTTGACATTCATGTCATCATTGAGGTAACCGATTGATCCCGTAGCCAATTCAGGCTAAGTGTTATCTTTCTCAATTTGCTGCTTTACTAGTCAGGTAGCACATAGAGTACTTGAAATCTATGCTTAAACCTAGTAATAGTTGATGCCAATATGATATCCCTTTTCAACTTCCTGAGATCTCAAGGAATGAAATGAGCTTAGATTCTTATACCAGTGAAGATCCTGCATGCTAAATATACAGCATGACTGGCATGGGTCTTTGATATTATTTGATGCTATTACCTAATCAGGCCACACACACACACACACACACACACACATGAGAAAAGAACTTTTTCTCTTTGTTATGTACTTCATACTTATTATGGCCAGTTTGTTTGCCACACATCTGGTCACCTTTGGAAAGTGTGATATATATGAGAAGCTTCCTATTTGTGGTGTTGTTTCTCCCTTGACGAGTAGGAATTCTCTTATAATCTTACTGTTCTTCAGATAATGTTGATAATTGGTTAGACTACACTAAGTATCACAATGCAGCACTATTTTCTTAGGAGATTAAAGGGTATAATTCTTTTTTCCCCTTCTGGGTTGGCTATTCTAAACGATGTGTTATTGTGTCATGGGGTATACTCATATGCCGTGATCCCCTACATAATTGTAGTAGTAGTTTCTATATTCACAAATGCTAAATCCTTTGTCCCAGACCAACCGAACAACAGCGAGGATTTTTCCAGCTGTATTAGGTGTGGAGAACCCAGAATTCAAGAGAAAGTTGGATAGAATGGTGGAGATCAACCAGAAGCTCATCGCCATTGGAGAGAGTCAGGATCTTCCTCTGGTGAAGAACTTGAAGAGAATACCTGTTGATTTTGCTGATTTTGAGCCATGACTTGCGTGCTGATTTTGTAAAAGACTAGTCCACAGATACATGATGCATTATTTTGTTTAAATGTTCGGAACAGATGATGATTGCATCAATTAGAGGTACGACAGACCTGTCAGAGTCTGCTTTGTATCTGTTGTAGATATATATGGATGCATGTTTCATTATATCTAATGTCAAGTGATTCAAAACTGTTATTCTGCATAAGCTGGTTCAATCAGATCGAGGGTAGATGGTGCAATTGAAGAAGTGATTTCTCTTTTTTTCTTTAATTTGTCTTCTTTGTTGGGTCATGTTCATACTTTCTAATCTGCATAACCTGCAAACCATGATATTGCTGCTTCTGCTCTCACAGGCATCTGTGTTTGCCTGAGAAATAAGAACCACAGAACCATGGGTTGCAAAATGTTGCAGATGAAGCTACTTCATGAAGCTTTTTAAGTATACAAGAGCACTAATATCGACACATAATAACCAGCAAGCTTGAAATCACCCTAGAGTTTTTCCTTCTGTTTCCTTTTCTTTTATGAAGCAAAATGCAGAATTCTGCAAGAGTGCAACCACCTGTGACAAATGCCTGTGGGTAGTAGATTTGTTCAAGAAATTTTCTAAAGGAATATTCTCGAAAAAGGAAAAAGATAGAGCATGGTGATCATAGTTCTTTAATGCCATCTCAAGCTAGCATTTAAGATCATGAAAAGTACTGTGTTGTCAATGTAGACATTTTATCCAAAAACTGAGAGACTATCCCCAATTGCAGCTCAGATTCCTCTATCACACAACTCCCAGTTGTGGTGGACTACCAGGAAATATTAGCAATGAATATCATTCTCTTTATCACCATAATAATATACTAAATCAACACTAGAACAGAAACAATTGAATCAGTGCCTGGTATCCCTGCATTATTATGCTCACTGTATACTGTGACCAGTAGAAGGAAAAATTATGAAGTTAGGCACTAAATAACATCACAATATTAAAACATTAGGCTAGCAGAATTATGAAGCAAATGCTCAAAGGGTAATTTACTACAGAGGATTCCCACCATTATAGGATTGGAGGGATCTGGATGCAGATTACCCATTATCCACACAACATCATTTTTTTCTAATATCAGAAAAATCATATTTTAAGATTAAAAAAATTTAAAGAAGTTGCAAACACATAATAAAAAAATAACCAGAAAGTCAGAAAAAAGAGCAGAGAAAATATTCCACGAATTAGACCCCAGCAAAATTCATGGCACTCTGAAACAAAAAGAAGACAAGGAAGATTCCAATACACACACAACCTACCACAATGCGAGGACCATGAATAAGTATTAACCGGAAGAGGTGAGTCATTTTCCTTCAATCTCATAAATGCAGCTAGCCAGATAACTGCTAGAAGAGGTTTAATGGACTCATTTTGCCATCATGACCTTGACGGACTCCTCATAGTTGATTTGACCATCTCCATCGACATCAGCTTCACAAATCATCTCGTCAACTTCCTTATCTGTCAGTTTCTCACCAAGGTTGGTCATGACATGACGCAACTCAGCAGCAGAGATGAACCCGTTCAGGTCCTTGTTGAAGACTCGAAAGGCCTCCTTCAGCTATTCCTCAGAGTCAGCGTCCTTCATCTTGCGAGCCGTCAGATTGAGAAATTCAAGAAAGTCAATTGTCCCATTCCCATCTGCATCAACCTCATTTATCATGTCCTGCAGCTCTGCTTCTGTAGGGTTCTGACCCAATGACCGCATCACAGTCCCAAGTTCCTTCCTAGTGATGCAACCTACAGAGACACCAAAAACCAATAAATAGACTATAAAAATTGTGTAGCAAAGCTTTTACATATCTTATAATATTTAATTGTTGTAAAAAGATTTTGAAGATCCATCGAAAATTATATAGAAAACAGAATCTCAGGGGAGAATTTCTGCTCCTATCATTTAATTCTTGTAATCGAATAGATATTTAGCATGGTTTGTTACAAGTGCATTGGATAAAAAAGAACTATATTTAGAAACTTCAAAACACAGTCTTCCTAACATAAGGAACTTTCTCTTGCCTATATTACACACTTCAAAACATAATGATCAATAGCAATTCTTGATCATAATTTCCGGTATGAGTACTGCGTCTAACACAAAACTTGTGATTGGTAGTAAAACATCGATTTTCCTGTTGAGACACAGTTCTATCTTCAAAGATTTCTCGAGATATTTTCTTACGAAGTTTCGTTATAGCATCTATAACTGCCTAGGTGGGCAGCCCGGCAAATAGACATCGACAGGGATTAGCTTGTTGACTCCACGAACAGTACTGTAAGAATCAGTAAAAGAAACCTCTCTCCTGTAATAGTACAAGCTCCCATAGCAATGACATATTTTGGTTCAGGCATTTGCTCATATAATCTTACTAAAGAAGGAGCCATTTTCATTGTTACTGTGCCGGCTGTTAAAATTAGGTCTGCTTGTCTAGGACTCGATCTTGGTACCAATCCATAACGATCAAAGTCGAATCGCGAGCCTATTAATGAAGCAAATTCAAGTAATTTATCGCATGAAGCCAAAGAGACAAAAAAATTTATAATTTTGGATAAATATACTACTCATTCACTCAATTCATGTATCCCTCTAACATCTCAACCTTTAAATTTCAAGTCATCAATGAAGATTTTGAAACAATTAAACACAATCCAACTTTTAAATACCCAAAACAAAGAAAATTGCTCCTAGATTGTTTATAGAAGAGACCCTGTGAACAGCGGTACTGCAGCATACACATTGAGATATGTAGACACAACTAGAATAACCTCTGCTACCGTCTGTTTCATTTTTACCATCCTCATCAAAATTCAGCAGCGACAGTTAACAATGGGTTTTCCTCAACCAACATGTTAACACAGGCAACCTTATAAAATATGTTCTACCAAAATGATTAGATTGATAACCAATCAAAATAACCCATAGACAGCATATTGGCACTACTACTAGTTAATGAATCATGGATGTAGAATTTATCTTGTGATCAACATCTCCCACCAAATCATTTCTTTCTTTACTTCCTCCGTTTTCTAGTAGAAGAAAAACCAAGTCTAACTGCATATTAGGCATATCATGGCATGGATAGTTAGAGTAAAAATCCACAACATTGTAAATGCTGTTAAAAATTTTCTTCAATTAATCCCCAGATCGATATATCATCCTTGATATTATGAGCAATGAAGTCCCTATGTGCCCGAGCGCTCCAAGTGCTCGATAAGTGGGTTGGGCAGGAGACTTCAACGGGGCACGGCCCAGGCGCTGGGCGGGCCAAGTGCGGGTCAAGTCTGAGTCGAGCCACTTGGGATTCGTGGTTCGATCGAACCATATGAGAACAGTCTCACCCCTAATCGCAGCGACGACGAACGAACCAGTCTTCTCCAACGACAACGGCAACAGTGAGTGTTTCCCTGGCAAACGACGCCAACAACAACGTCGTCTTCCTCCGGCGAGGTAATATCATTGTTGTGTCTTCCTCTCCTAACGGTGACAGCGACATCTTCCCCTCGCGGAATCTCTCTCTTGCACCTCCTCTTCCCCCTTTGCCGTCGCATACTACCTTCTCCTTCCTTTTTCTTCATCGCAGCCGTCCTTGCTCCTCCTCCTGGACCACAGCTCCCTCTCTTTTCTCCTCCCTCTTTCCCTCCCAACCACCTAACCCCAGCAAGCTCTTCTCATCCTCCTCCTCCTTTTATGTTACTATTTTTATTAATATAATATATAAATTTTGTAAATGATTAAATTTGTCATTGGATTATTGTTACTTTTGCGGGGTTCTGTAAATGAATGGATTTTTGTTTTAGTCTACTGTTATAAATCATGATATATATATCTTGCGATCATTTTAGCACCTTAGCGCTTGGATTAGGAGAGGAGAAACTGAAAATAAGATTGCTTTACGTAGTCATCAATGTCAAACATTCATGACCACAATCGTGAGCTCCCAAGTTCAGCCTCACACTAGATGCGGAAGAAAATTGAGTTGACTTACAAGACTAGATGAATATTACCATTAACTTTGGGCTTTTAGCATTTGATTCATCTGGTTCAGACTTTTTTAAAGAATGCTATTGGATGGAATATATACTAGACATGATGAAAGGGCTCGACCTATTTTAAGTGGAAGAGATTTGACATCTCAAATTCCAACCTCTAAATGAGCATTCTAACCAAAGTCATCATCAAAATATAAATCTTGCATATGTAAGATTAAATGCTCAAATTAAAAGGAAATAACAACTAAATTATATACATAGAAACAACTTAATTTTTATCAGCCTTCCAAGTATGACGATATCCGATAAGGATTGCACAGATGATTCTGCTCAACCCATAAGAAAAATGAAGACAGATATACGCACAATCAAACCCTAAAATCAACAAAACAGACCGATATACTCAAAAGACGAAGAAGAGAAGAACAGCGGATCGAATGAACAAAACCAAACAAGACCCTGCTCCGCGAGAAGCAGAACAACCGAAAGATCAAACGGCGAAACCAATCGAGCCAAAACAATTAAAAATGGGACAGTGCAGGAGGGAATATCATCGGACGGAAGGGAGCTAACCATCTCCATCATCGTCGACCAAGCTGAAGGCCTCCTTGAACTCAGAGATTTGCTCGTCGGTGACTTGCTTCGCCATGCCTCCTAAGGGATCGAACACCGGAGCGATCCGAAGAAAGAGATCTCTAACGACAACACGCAATGAGAGAGAGGGAGGGAGAGACGAAGAGGGCGAAGGAGCGATCTCGAGCGCCTTGTGACCCCGACGTGGCAGATTTAGCGACGACAGTTATAAAATCCTCCAATGGGATAACGCCATGTCGATAATCCGTTAACGGACGTCGTATTTTTCTCTTGGTTCTTTTTATTGCCGAGATCATCCTTGATTGGATATCGACCGTCTGATCTCATACGGACGACACTCGTGCGCGTCATCGTCTTTTTAAGGCCTGCACGTGGTGAAGCCCACGAACAAATGCAGGTTATGGATTTCTATTAGTTATTCCAATCTTTAACATTCATAATTGTTCTTCCAAGAGTTTTATATATATATATATATATATGGAGAGAGAGAGAGAGAGAGAGAGAGAGTTTTGGAGTTATCCATCAGCTCGGCTCAATCTCTGACTCGAACATGACATGAGAGAGGAATCCAAGACCCAGTCGAGATAAAGAAAGAAGAAGAAGAAGAAGAAGAACAGAGAACTTGAGAGTGGTGGATTTCAGTGTGAAGTTTCAAGCTTCAGATCTAATACAACCTACTGAAGTGTGCACATTTCAGCATGCATGTTCGATCAGACACAGCCGCAGAACCTTAGCAACCTCACACGAGAGCTCATAACACAAACAGCGTCGACTGCTGCAGTCCCGGAAAGTTGTCCAACATCTCCGGGGTGAAGACATCGTCGTCGAACATCTCGAACGGCGCCGACGCCGTGGCCGTACGTGGATCCATGCCGGTGCTGTCAGAAGCCACTCCAGATCCGGGCGCAGGCTTCACCGACGGCTTCTCCAGGCCATCGAACACCATCGACGTCGCTCCCGTGTCGCCGACGTTCGAGTCCCGGCCGGTGAGCTTCTGCACGAGGGCCCGGAATTTGGCGACGCTGGTGGTGAACCGCATGGGGTTGGAGATGTACACCACCTTGACAGTCTTCTTCTTGCCCTTCCCTTGCTTGGGGCTCCTCGTCTGGTGGACGCTTAGCCTCCCCATGGTGTATGGCAAGCAAAACTAGTGTGAGAAGCAGAAGGGTAGAAGAAGGTGGAGGAATCCGTTTAGTCCCACAGATATAGATGAAGCAATCTGGTAAGGGAGAGTTGGTCATATATAATGTATTTTGCGGTTAATTTCCTCCAATATATATATATATATATATATATATATATATATATATATATATATATATATATATATATATATATATATATATATATACACGCGTCAAACACGAGAAGACACATCAAAGTAATCAATTATATGCCAATAATTAATGCGTTATCAAGGTGATAGACATGATTCAGATTTATTAGGTTAATGTGTTAATTATTTTATGGGAGACAATACACTTATATTGATGTATAAGCGTTATGGTAATGGAATATGATAATACATATCCATTTTCAATAAATATGCTTTTAAGAGTTAGTAATCAAATATTAAGAGAGAGAGAGAGAGGCTTGATGCCTGTGGCTAAAGATGGCTAAGACTAGTAGTATGTGAGCCTGCCCACCCTCTTGATTGAAAGAAGTAGGTCCTCTGTGTCAGACTGCTCCATGTCTAATCTCTGAATGCAACCTTACCTTGTCTTCCCATGGACCCTTCTACCACACCACACCCACTTCCTTGTTACATGAGGCCATGAGGTTAGGAGCAATTCCCACCCATGGGTTGCTTTCTAGGGTCTCCCACATGCAATCAGCCAAATCCATAATAGCTTTTATATCATCAGATATCGATGTATCTTTTAATCTTTTCTTGTGACATCAAATGTTGTTGGTCGATATTTTATTGAAAATAAATGAAATAAATAATTTGATTCAGTATTTAATTAGTTTACGTATCAACCCTTTCGATATGTTTCATATGGAATCAGATCAATAAGTCGTAGGAGTGGTTCTTGTTATTATCATCATATTAATATTATTTTTTATATTTAAAATTAAAATTAATTAATTTTTAATTATATTACCAACCAAAAATAAAGCACATGTAATGTAAAGTAAATGTTCTATTCATAACTATTTGTATTCCACCAAAGAACAAATGATATGTGATTCTTAAAATATAT